GAGAGAGAGAGAGAGAGAGAGAGAGAGGGTGGGGGGTATATGTATACGTGTGTGTGACACAGAGAAAAAGAGAAAGAGTACGAGTGTGTGTGCGTGGATGTGTATGTTTGTATATTCATATTTGGCGTTTGTGTATGTATGTATGTGTATGTGTGTAAGTGTGTGTGAATGTGTTTATGAGTGTGTGTATGCATATACTATTATGTGTGTTTATGTATGAGTTTTTATGTATGTGTTTATGTGTATGTGTGTGCCCGCACGCGCGAGCGTGTGTTTGTGGCTGGGATGTCGTCTTTTTGTCTGTTATTTTTTTTTTCAGCATTGTTTCCAAGGTATCCCACAATCTTCACTTTCTATACACCGATGATTAATCCTGATTTCTCTGGTAAAAGTGCAGTTGAGCGATGATTTTCACCAAAAGAAACAGAAATAAGCAAACTTAAATCACTTCCTGTCTGCAGTTGTTTTGTTGATGGCTTGTCGTGTAACTTGATAACAGCGAGGAAATATCGTTAGGCCTATATCACGTTTTCCCTATAGAGGAAAAAGATAGCCCGTACTTTTATTTTTTCACTTACCTTCTCCGTGTTCGATTCTTTCACTCTCGTGTCTCTCTCTCACTCTCTCTCTCTCTCTCTCTCTCTCTCTCTCTCTCTTTCTTTCTCTTTCTCTCTCCCCCCTCTCTCCCCCTCTCTTTCGTTCTCTCTCTGCGCGTGCGTGTGTGTGTATGTGTGTGTGTGTGTGTGTGTGCGTGCGTGAGTGTGTGAGTATGTGTGAGTGTGTGTATGTGTGTATGTGTGTGGGGGGGTGGGAGAAGGGTAGATAGATAGATAGATAGATAGATAGATAGATAGATAGATAGATAGATAGATAGATAGATAGATAGATAGATAGATAGTGAGATAGACAGGGAGATAGAGAGAGATAGAGAGAAGCAGACAGACAGACAGACAGACAGACAGACATGTATGTGTGTATGGATTTGTATTGTGTATGTGTGTGTGTGTGTGTGTGTGTGTGTGTGTGTGTGCTAGAGGGACAGAGAGAGAGAGAAAGAGAGAGAGAGAGAGAGAG